ACCTGTTGTGACTTCCGTACAAGCTTTAATATCCAAAACAACACCTTTCGGTGATTCATCATCAGTAGTGTGAATAATGGTGATTTCTATACGTGATACAGGTGTATTTGATGGTATTTGTTTTGAATTGAGTTCAGCTGGCTTCGACTTATCTTCTTTTGGACTTGAATTACTTAAGATTGGTATGTCGTTAATTTTGTTTCCATCAGGTGAATAGAATGTGACTTCAAATTGTTCTACATTTCCATTGGGTGTTTTATCACGTGGAAGAGTTAATGATATCAACTGTATTGAGATTGATAGTGGGATGGTGAGTTTGGGTGCTTTGTTTTCTTTCGGAAAAGAAACACCCAAAGTTGATGTCAATTGAAACTCGACGTTTACTCCTTTTGGTAGTTCAATGGGACCGACAGTAATTTTCTTGCTAACTGATTCGTTTACTACCTGCGTTTCTTCGCATCTCTTCCTAGTAGTTCCTGAAGATGTAATTACAGTGACAGTTGATATATACTCATTGCTTGGTGTAGTAGCAGCTGCACTTTGTTGTGGGGTTGTAGCAATCGTACCATTTTTTTCAGATACGCTAGTGGCACTAGTAGTTATTTCCGGCAGTATTGAAGGCACAATAGTACCACTGCTGTGAGTCGTAGTAGGCTCTAATGGCGGCTTTGCACTTATCTTAACTGGTTCACCACAACCAAATATACCGAGTTTTACCTTTGATGGCACGGAATTATCTTTCGTTTTCAGTATTGTAATATCCAACTGAGCAACCTCTTCAAGGTATGGATTATAAACTACAGCTGGGTTCGTTGGATTTGCATTCTCGATAGGTTCAATATCATACTCGGTTAAAGCATTAATAGAAGTGATTTTCGATTCATCTGAATTGATCACTGACACATTTTGAATGGTAACTCCCTATTAAATGAAAAGTATATTTACTATATGCATACATGACCAAATACACTTGCATACCTTTTTGAATACGATAGACACTGTTGCTGGTAGCCTAGATAGAGCCACAGGCTTCGCCAAACTATCTGCTCCGGACTTCTGATCGTCAATCATGACAGTAGCAAATAATGTGGTACCAAAGTCACTAAGGTCAACAATTTCTTCACAACCTATAAAGATAAAACATGCAGCAAGACAAAGTATCGTAAAATTCTATCTTACCCGCAGTCGAAGATGGTCTCGCCACAGTTGTTCGCCTTGAAACCATGGCACTGGTTAACTCTAAAAACAATACTCCTAGTAGCAATCGATCAGTAACTGTCCAAAAGATTGAAGAAACACCGCAAGATGTCGATAACTACACGGACAATTCAACTACAACAAAACAAACTCAAAGGTCGAAGCTAATTGTTCTCAATTGAATACAAAGGATTCCCAATAACGAACCAGCAGACAACTCACACACCATGAGATGATTTAATTAAAGTCATATGTCAACACACTGTTACCACATCTGGCAACAACAAAAAATTGATATTTTCCCCATATTATTCAGCATGCAGCTTGCGAACAGAACATCAATGAGAGTGCTTGAACCATTCAATACTTTCTATCCACTCTTCTCCTGCAAAATATTCTAACTGCCCAAAACGCAAGGTACCAGCAAAAAAGCACGTTTGTCACACAAACGTACACTGTCAAAAAACACATCAATACATTAGCGTAATTCGAATGAAAACGCATTAGCTTTGTCACACACCTCACACAGAACACAACCGAATATTGCAGAACAACATTAACTGCAGCCAAACAGAAACCATACAACACAAAATCCACACATCAAGATATGGCACATGCAAATTACAGAACCATCTTACCAGACCTACAGCTAGAACAAACAAACACCGATGACTTCAGACTACACACTTAACGTTAACAAGAAAAACACGACAACAAATCCTGACTGCTATATCGAACAATTACTGCTAATCTTTTCCTTGTCCACCAGTAACAATATCAAACCACAAAACTATAACATACTCATATGCAAAAGTTCATTCTATCCCTACCAGAACCCGTCAACGAGGATCAAATAACAAAGCCTCTGCTGAAAGGCACCAATCTGATCGCTATCATTCAACAAAATTGTAAAAATTCACGAAAATCCAAATAGCGACTCAGCATCGATCGGCAATGACAATCCATTGATGCACTTAAATTACTCCAGAGCCTTAGACACGAACCTCCGACGCTAAAATAGCACAGCACATCCGATTCGTCGTACGCACTATATAGCATTGTACCAAAGTGCTCCAGATTATCCTATCAATCTGCACTCCACTAATTTATCAAAATTTATTCAACCATGTACCGTATCTTAAACATAACACAACAATCATCCGCTTCAGTGACATGTAGGACACTGGACAGCGCAGAAAAACACAACCATCAACGCTACTTCGACTCTCAATAACCTATCCAGCGAATCACAGAACACTTCCAATATCCTTAACAACGACCTCAAAGTATACATTAACAACTGCTCAAACATAACTCATTCAAAAAAACGCCGAAGACATTTCTCGACCAGTCATTCTAACTAACATCCTAAAGCAACACCCGCTTCAAATTCCAACAACACATGATACAATCAAGCGCGCCAGGGTGAAATCCAGTACTAAGAACCCTATAGACGGCAGCGTATACTATCCCGATGAATTCCGTTCCCTCGCAACAAACTCGATAATAAACCACATTCCAAACAGCATACAAAGTCACACTCTACTAACCAACTCCCCAACATTCAAGCTGAAACCGTACAATCTCCGAAGCCGCAGTGCTGCGAACGTGCCTCTAGCTCCCCACCCGCAAAAAAAACTATCCATGACAAAAGATCGATACTACTTCCACTTTTCAATTTCTGCTATCTCTCATGGACTCTACAGTGCAGCCACCGTCTCCATATCACCATGGAATTTTGTTCCACCGGTCTAACATACACATCGAAACATCCTACATTGCATGCCATCAATCCTATCAAATTTTGACGCACAAAACAAAACATCTGCCCTGCATCCAACAATCCGCTAACGACAAAAACTTACAATCGCAACATGCTCCGCCAAAACCCGCGAACTTAATACACACTCGCCAGCATACCACAACACTTCAACAAAAACCTTTCAAGCCCGATAATAAATCGGGATCATACCTTCTCTGCTTCTTGTGGAGCTCTCCACAATATGTGCTTCCGCAGTGGTCGCCGGCAGTATTTCGTCAATACCACTGCCACTGGTCTGACCGGATACTGTCGTAACACCAGCAGCTTCCATAGTCCATGACAAGCCTCCCCCAGTAATCGTGGATTCTGTCGCACCTGGTCCTGATGTCAACCCTTCTGGTTGTGTTGGGGCTCCTGGCTGTGATGTTGATAATATCGCTTCACCACCAACAGTCGATTCGGTTGCACCTGGTCCTGATGTCACACCTTCTGGTTGTGTTGGGGCTCCTGGCTGTGATGTTGATAATATCGCTTCACCACCAACAGTCGATTCTGTTGCACCTGGTCCTG